TCCAATCGATTATATCAATGCAGTCTGATTTCATTAACTTGAATAAAGCAATCCAATAAAATAAAAAATCATAATAATTTGATGGCAAGCTGGCATAATTTGAGTCAAGCCGCTAAAACCTTTGCCCGTTATTATTATATCCTTAACAATTGTTTCAAATATTTATTGCAAACGCTGCATCGTCCATGAAATGTCGCGTAAGAGAGTAGATTTTTCAAACAAGCGAGTGTATCTCATTAATTCCAAAAATTTCGAATTCTTAGGAATATTTTATTGCCTGCCTCATTTTAGCAGTGGTAACTAAACAGGGCAGTTACGGACATAAGGCTCAAAACTGTTTCTATATTGACGATAGACATCGAATCGGATAAAGAACGTCAGAACGACTCAGACTTCAGTGAATCTAAAAAGTGTACAGTTTTTATAGCCACCGATACTCTACGTGTAAAATGGAGCATACAATATAAGCAAGTAGTATTATCGCAGTCGATCATCCGCTATCACACTTCGGTGAAAAATGAACCCAAAATGACAAAGTGGTCATCGACAGATAATCTTTTATAGTACGACACAAGAAGCCCGAAATTGCAACCTGCGATACCGGTTTTATGTCTCACACATCGCCTAATAATACGTAAATCGACCGCAACGATTCGGACTTTATTTATATAGTTGATAAGAGTTTCTAAGCAATTTCCCCGTAATTCGTGATTTCGAAAATAACTTACTGATAGGTAGTCATATAAATCTACTTTTTTGGAGATATGATCATTATTGACCAAGAAACACTAAAAAAGGAAAGGCGATAACTGGCGTCGATTTTTGCTAATATTTATATGAATAAATGTACCTGGCATTATATTATACATAATACAAAACGAGAGTGTGGTAAATAGAAGTAATAGGCATTCTAAGTGTGTGATGTATACCGTGTTTTATCGTTCAATTTTCAATTTTCTTTCGAAAAATAACACTAGGGCTTATTTTCGGGGGATATCTTTCATCTTCATTTATCAAAAACAAAATTACAAAGCACATAATTACGAGATTTTCAAACATACAAAATAAAAAAACCGATATCCATTTACTTGTAAATAATACGTTTTCGCCGCACACGTTTTAGATTAATCATTAAAAACGTGTAGAAGAGATTTCTTGATATGGACTAGGTCAAAAAAAAAAATCGCGCTATTGACTAGGTCCTTTTTTAAGGGGATGGCTTGTATTAAAATCATTTTCAAAATTCGGGCTAGGTCTTATTTTCGAGAAAACACGGTATTATGGTATAATGTATGAAAAAGGATATTTATATCTGTTCATGAATTATCTTCAAATAGTTTAAATGTAGGGTTGAGATAACTAAATACATTTGGGTTACTTGTTAGTTTTCTAGATTTAATTTCTGAATGATAGATTATAAAATTTCCCACGATTCTATAACATTCCTAAATATGCGATATATAATTCATCATGATACATCACGCAAAAATGGATATTCATTCCACTAAGCTTGTCAAATAACTTTATTAATGTGCTCTTGAAAAATATTTTTGGTATTCTTTAGTCATATTATTTTCCGATATATTCAAGCGAGCTCGGTAAGAGTTCTCGGTATAATGTTTTCAAATGCACCATTAGTAAATATGCCATGCAGCGAACGTGAGAATAAAACTTATTTGCAGCATGGAATTTATTGACTTACATGTGTATTGTATGTGTGACCCAAGTAATGAAAAAAATTTCGCATCAGCGGCCAGGAGTACTTTTTTATCAAACATAATCTGTATCTGTGTTTCCAGTACAATCCCGAGTATAATAAACTTTGGTGTAAAATTGAACCCAGACTATGTCTGAACTCATTCGGTATTATGAAAGCCTTTCTCACAAAAAATCTTTAAGTTTTAATTAATTTAGCAAAAGCCTCGTGTTCCGTGTTTCGGTGAAATTCTATACCACAAATTCTTTCTTCGTCTGAGTACCGACTGTCGGAGCCCAAAACAAGGAGAAAAATCTGGAATGGCATGCCAATAATTTCAAGTTTTAACTTCAAGAAGCTAGACACCGTCTCTTCTCAGATTGCGCAAGATCTCCAAACATAACGAATTGAGTAAAGCCAGTTGAAGGAAAGCGGAGATGAGAAGTTGTTAGGAAACATTGCTAAATTGGGCAACCAACCAAATAGCCAACATTGCGCGTAACCAAACTGAAATTTCGCTAATTAATTGGGAATAGGGATGAGAAAATGGCCTTAATCACCTCCTCTGTAAAAAGGTATTGAGCTGCAATACAAACAGTTACACAAGACAGCTGCACAAAATGTGTACTACCAGTCACATAACAAGTCTTATCTGAATCTGAAAATGCGCTAAACATAAATTAGGCCTTTTCAAAAAAAAGACAAAATAGTCTACAGACCGCTCGATCATACATGATTCTGTAAAAATTTCCCGTAGAACGAACCCATGAACCCTAAATTATTCAATAATCACAGGTGGGTTGAGATATTTTTATATGTAAACAATAATTTCATTATTCGTTCAACGTTTTTGTATGATTTTGTGTAATAATGTACAGCAATTCAGATAACCCTTGCTAGAGTGATTTACCTGCAAGATCATTTCTCGGAACAATCGAAACATGAAAGAATGGACAAGTTCACACTTACAAGGTAATTATAACAAAAGTATTAATAACATTTATATATATTATGAATAGTCTATGAGCGGTACTTGAGATTACCACTCCACTTATTATGATATAATAATGAAGCACTTCACAACCATTTATTAGTATCAATACTAGAATCGCATAAATCTCTGATAATCACCCAATTATTCAAATCTTGGTGACATTACTAAAATTTGCAGAATATATAGGTCACAAAATTATTCACGGGTCTTAAGAAGATTAAACAACTTGTCAATTAAAACTCAATCGAAATATGTGAGAATCAATAATATTTATGTTTCATAGTATAATTACTAATCACTGCTTTGTAACATCGTCAGCTGCTGAGTGCATTTCGTTTTCGTGCAAATCAATTGCAATTATGTGGCGTATATATTAATGTTAATATTATCATTTTGCACGAATCTGTAATTCATTTGTGATAAGTTTTCAAATTGACAATACAGAAAAGTCGGCATTTATCACTCCATAATGGTGAAATTTATTAGCGCATGAACGCCACAATCTTTCCCATCTAAATTCGTTGGTGAAATTTCTAGTTACGAGTAAAAATGTTTTAACAGTGCATTCTGAATTATTTACCAAAAAATTGTGCGCAATTATTGGTTCACGACCATCCATTCACCTCCTAAGGCATCAGTCAATTTAGAGTATTTAGAACCAGAATGTCTAAAATCAACCACAATATGAACAGGGTCAACGGATGTGATGCGAAATACACCCTTAATACCAATGACATATCATACACGGTCTGTCTACCTTTGGCGTATCAAAAACGCCGCCAATGCAAGAGTCGGCACCAGTCAACCATATTGAAAAAATTCCAATAATTTAACTACATTTCCGACAGTCAAATACCGCAGAACACTTGGCCGTATGAGACTGGGTATTATTCTTCCTCCCGCTCACAGAAGACGAATTTTAAAGAAAATCGCATCCGATGTCAGAATCAAGTTGGCGTAACAAGTGCACTTTCGATAGAAATCAACCACAACTCGTAACACGGAAAACGCAAATGGCGGTCAGGTACATATTTTCGACTTAAATCTTTGAACTAACCCAACCCCAAAACACCAGGTCGAATCAAAATTAAGGTCCAATCTCTTGAAATGTATAAATGCCTGCATTAGTAAAGCGCCATCCTATGTCTCACGGTCTAAGCACTTCATAATAACAATACTGCTGTTAGCTGTAATCATTCGCTAAAGAACTATGTATATTATATATTGATACATGGCTCAATTCTTCAGCCTCAGTCAATTAATCAAACATTCTGATTGATTCCCATTTATCACCGACGCGCTTGCCAACAACATTGCATAGTCTTTCTACACTAATTAAGATCTGAACTAAAATCATGTTTCCTATGCATTAAATAGAAAAACATTCGACGCTGATATATCTTACATATAATATGCAACAAGTCTCAGCAGACCACCTGACGCATTATTAAGCATATACTGGCTAATTGTGAATACAGAATTTAATCTAGCGTGCAAGTTGAATTATTCATGGGAACATACAAGCAAGGAACCAAATAGGGAGGACTTGTTACATATGCTTTTCGATCGACTACATTGTGCAAATATTCCCGATAATTACAAATATGTATGTTCAATATGTTATTAAGATAACGGTGAGCATACTGTAAGGTGACACGTTAGAATAGGTTTTCCGGGCATGACTTGAAAGAAAAATCGAATATACGTTTGATTATTTTGCGAATCTGTCTCTCGCCCAGACGGGTATGGATGGGAACCAACAACCGGTTTGTCGCCACAGATGCATAGACTTTGACAAATTGGATAAAAAAATGTCAACTTTTTGCGAGAAATGTCCTGTCATGACATAACTGATGTCGCGTGTAGAATTTGAAGTTAAAGTCAAAATTGTCGCATGGCGGGAACATAATTTTTAAAGAAATTAGAAATATGCTTGGGCATAACCAACATAACCAATTACTCGATATTAGAAGACGAAACTAGTATCGTCATCAGTATAATTCTTTTCCAATAAACAAACGAGGAAATCATAACATGATGTCAAGGAAGTTAAAAATTAAAATTTCCATTTATAGAAATAAAATTGAGCGACAAAAACGAATAACAATACATAATGACTCAGTCATATCCGAAAATACCCTGGAGTATGATATAATAGCCAGATAAAAAATCACTTGAATGAGAAGATTTAGATTTCTGCATTACCACCTATAATAAAACCAAAATGAAATTCAGAGCAGAATTTCGTTTTTTTATAAGAATGGCTGAACGAATATGTCTCCGTTGTAAAAGAAAACCAAGAAAACTGACCTGCATAGCTCCCACTGATCCAGCTTCAATATATTCAGACATAGGTTTGTGATCAAGAAGAAACATTCCATATTTTTCATGATAAAGTCCATAGTTAAGTGGATCTGGAAATTTCTGCAAAACATCAACGTTCCACAAGTTCAAATAAAAACAATATAATATTTTTTCAAAATTATGGATTGCAACTAAGTGTGTGAACCTAAAATAGTTAGTTGATTATCAAAATTATTGTATTTATGGAAAATCCTTTGATGAAAATTATAGACAAAAATTCATTTTGGGCAAATGTGTTTATCTTGAATGTCATAACATCACAGATAATCATGATCAAATTCAAAGTTTTGTTAGTCGCTGTTGCTAAGAAACAAAAAAAATATTTACCTTGGCGAGAGATTGAATAATTCGTTGTTTTGCAGTCCATACTGTCTCTGTAATCTTCAATTGCATGCATTTCTGAAAAAAATTATATTTTTCGAGTCTTGATCCAAAATTCTGATTTATTATAATGCTAATATTATTGTGCTAACATCCAGCATTTGGAATAATGGTTCCATTGTTGCACTGATTAGATTTCTTAGAATTCTTCTATTCGAATTTATATTTTCACATCCATGATTTCTTAGCCATGACAATTTACAAAAAAAATCTTAGCTTCCATCATATAAGTTCCTAAGTTACAACTTTCAATTCAAATAAAAAAATTTCCCAGGCCAAATTTTCTCGATAGTCTTGTTGTCAAAATATACTCAAGATGGGTGGATAAAATGAAAATCATATGAAAAGAAAAGTAGAACTAAACCTACAAGATTTAAATAAGCGAGCCAAACAGAATTTAAACTATTCGAAGTGAGCAGAAAAATGTTGTACAGATAAAAATAAGAAGGATAAAAACCTCAGTGTGTGTAATGTGATAACCAAGAACAAATGAGGTATAGCAACAGAAATATTGTGGGTCATATTCAAAATGGACACATATTTGCCATGTTATCACTGAACCTCATCGGACGAAAAATGAAAGTGATACAACTAAAATTTCTGTGTACATTGGAAAACCCACATCATTATATTTATCAACCACTTGAACACACACACACAACCATAATATACTGAAACGTACAGTTAATTTTTGCTCAGGAATTGTGATTTTAGCGATGACGTATAGCGCTCTATCTTCTTCTGTTATTTGATCGAGGGAAGAAGTTGAGATTGAGGAAATTGTTGAAGTTCCACTAGTTGATATTGTATCTTCTTTTTGGATAGGCTGAATACAAAAAAGAATACTTCTTGCGATATGTATTTCCTCACAATCATCAATCTTATTTAGACAATGATTTCACAAAATTTCACACCTTTATAACTTTTATGCAGACGTTTGTTGATTTTATTATGAACAAATCAGCTATGGAACTGCTTAACAAAAATGGATTGATATTGTGATTATGTATTAGCTGTTATGTATAGCAGCCCTATGGCAATATGGAATTCGAAAGAAGCCATTGATAATGGCGATTGGGACCATAATATCCTTCCTTACACCTAACCTAGTGCCCATTATAAAAATGTTTAATGAAAACATTTACATACATAAACACATGACATACAATGCATCTAAATGCATAACTAGAGTTCAATTCAGATCTTAGATTACAATCGGATTGTTTTCCACACCTTCAGTGTGTGTTAAATCAGGAAAATCGCAACTTGAATTGTTTACTTTGTCTCGAAAGGGTTTTGTCCACAAAAGAATATTTGAGCAACACCCAAATGTCAATATAATCAGAACAAACAGTAATAAAATTTGGTTTTCTTTGAGATTCGAAACAGCGTAGGTAAGTTTTACAATCACATTCCTGAATACTAAGATGCAAAGGCAGATGAGTACAGAAATTTAACAAAATATAAGTCAGAATTGAAAAACATCTTGAATATTTACAATTGGAAAGCCTATTGGTTTAAAATAAAAGATCCATCACATCCTGCCTTGAAAAGCTTTCCCATACAGAATCATCATATCATATTCACATCACACAAGAATTATAAAAATATTGAACTAACCATTTCAAATTCTTCTCCAGAATCATCGCTATCTGACAGAGAATCACAGGATTCATCATCAGAGGAAAATAGTCTGAAATGACCAACATAGAAAAATTGTTAATAATGTAAAAAAAAATTGTTATATACCAGCAAGTAAATTAAGATTCTTGAGAAATGGAAACAAACAAGTCACATGTTTTTAATGAATCGAATATGAAATTGTTGTTTTGGATAAACTGTACTAAAAAAGACCAGGTTGCCATGGACGACTGCAAATTCAAAATTTGAAGATCTTTTCGAACTTCACTTCAATGGAACTAGTTCGTTTTCTGGATTACCCCAACAACTAGTCTTAATACAACCTTTCATTCATGCAACGTGGTATATTGAGTTAAGTATAGAACACTAATAAATTGATATATGATAGCTGATAGATTGAATCTCTTTTCATGTTTTCTATTTTTGAACTATGTAATTACATTCCAGTGGAAATGAACAATTACAGTGACAGTAATAGATTTATTTTTAGCATTAGGATAATACAGACAATATTATGACCTGAATGATGGTGACACAATATATAAAATATTATTGATTATGGGCATACTGCATGCAGTTCACATTCTCCAGACAGGAAAAGTACTGGCAATGCATACTTGATTGCTATCATGCGTGTGTTGCTAACAGCAATCCTAATGCCTGCCATTCACAATTAGAATAAGACTAAGATGCAATATTGCACTTTCACTAGCACGAACTATGAAGTATTCACAATTTCACAGCTAAGTATGCAAAATATACGGTAACCATTTTATAAGCAAAGTATTAGTTAGTAAAAATAAAATTATTTGTTTCATTTCTCAATTATCAGTGCAATAATAGCAATAAAATTGCTCAGATTGGGAAACAATCACAATATTATATGTACGATTGTCGATTGTATTTGAAATTTTTCATGGTTTCATTCACCCTCAACATTCTCAATGAGAACTAGATATCCTCTCAAGAGCAGAAGATTGTTTTTGTCATCATGGAATTATATCATGTGCCATTCTTATCATTTCTTACACAATTGCTTATACAAATATTCCTCTAAAGTATATTTTTTGAAAGTTTTCGTCGCCATTGAAATTATCGTCCAATTTAATGCAAGAGAATAGTGAACAAAAGCATTTACCTTATCACAGGTTTCCTTGTAGGTTCCCGTAAAAGCATCAAATTCTTGAGTTTAGTAGTTCCATTTAAAGTCCCCATATTTTGTCGATTATTATTATTCATATTAGTGTTTGCCATAAACTGAGGTTTTTCAGGAATAGGTGGTCGTTCATTTCTACAAAAAAATATCAGAGTAATAGTTCCACCAAATACAAATTCCTATAATACAGCATATGGCACATTTATACTAATAAATTACTTAAAGCCACAACTATTTTAAAATAAACATTAGTCTTTGAATATGGATTACTGTGGTATAAAAAAAAACAAATACAAATAATTTTGACAAATTAACCAAACTCTAATAATAATAGAAGCTGTTTCATTCTATGCATGTAAAATGATTCAAAGATCTTCATGCACATCCAGTCTAGACTTCTATCAATTTGAGGAAACTGAAACTAAAGTAGATGAAACAAAGCAGAAATCTGCTCTCCTACATACTGAATGAGGTATTTTCCAGTCAAACTTATATTTAGACAACTAAAACCTGTTCTTTATCATTCAACTTCCATATCATATCTCAGCACTATCACATTATACTGAAACTATAAATGCTTTACCTCAATCTAAACCTGAACCTATCTACCCTCATTACTGAATGTATTAGTGAATGCTATTACCAGAAAGGTCTGGCTATAATGAGCATAATAAGCAGAAGAAATGCTGTCATTTACTTCTCTGCTAAATCTTTCAAAATAATTGTAAAGTGTAATATCATGACATCATCTCTTATGATAATATCAGACATGACCTTTCTTCTTTATGATTAGAACGAATCTGTCAAAATGTCAATCAAACTATATTGATCGAACTTTCAAAGGTATATATAAACATTTAAAGATCAAAACTAACCAAACCAGCAAAACCATCCAATGTTATGAATCCAGTTAAATGGTCCAGAACTGGGACATTTGAAATTACAAACAAAAATTCTCAAAACTGAAAAATTCATGAAAGAACTGTATTAAAATTAAATTTCCCAAGATACTGATGAAGGGAAAACAATAATATTGTAATTAATAAACATATAAATATTGTTCATTCTAATGGAACATAACTTTACTGCTGTACACCTGATAAAATTTCCACACTAAAGACATCCATTAACACCATGACCAATATGACAATTTAGAAGCCATAAAGGTTTTGACAAACTGTCTGGAAGTTAGCTAATTGCTTGGTTCATAAATTACAGACTGACAATACCCTTTCTAACCTGAGGCAACATACCATGTAAGTGCTATATAATTTGGTAATTGTGCCTGGTGGTGGCATTTCCATGATATTAAAAATTAATGGACCATAATTTTTAATTGTCAATTCGATCAAGTTGAAATTACAATCTTCGGCTTATAATCTATAAAACAACCAAAATTACACCTGATAGTAAATCATATTAATAATATGATTGTATGACAATTTTTATTTGAATAAATCAACCTGTCATCATATGCTGTAATTTTGTTAAGTACATTTTACATCTTGCAAAATGAATAGTGAAAACAATTTATCAGTAGCTGTAATTAGTAACGTCCGATGATAAAAAGTACCTGAAAGCTATAGAGTTTCTTCCCTATCGGTAAGGTCTGACAAAATCTGACATCTTTTCTAGTTTCAATTTTCTGAATATTTCCCACTTAATAACGAATGATTATTTAAATAGACATTTTCAGGTTTTTTTTATACAACTTTTAGTCGCATAATTTTCTACCAGTTAAACATTTTCTACCTTGTTCTAACTGACATTGAACAACGCAATACACAATATTTATTCTTCTGAACTAAACTAGGAAATACACAGTTGTTAAAATCACCATCTATCTGAACCTAAAGTATAATCAATAGCAAAGCGATTCTATAAAATATTGACCATCTATTCAGCATATAAATATTTCAAAACTAAACCCAGTTGATCTATGTGATAATATGTCCAAGATATCGTGTTACCTAACATTATATGACTGACCTTTATTGACAAAAAAAATGACGCAAATCTGTTCATAGAATACATAGGTAATTAAAATCATCATTTTGTCAAAAAATGTTAAAGTGATTGATTTTTTTAAGTAATGTCATTTATTTGCACAAAATTATCATCAGCAAACTACAGTAATTTACTTTTGAAAATACCCAATAATCATGGTGTTTTTAAAGAATAATACAACCAAAATGATATGGTAACTAAATAATGAGTAGACTCACCTATTAATAATGTTACTAAATTATTTTCACATTGCAATTTGCTAAACAATTATGAATTATAATATATTTAAACTATTTTCTATTATTAATATTATGTTATAGTATATCAGAATCATTCTTCTTCTGGTGCAATTCAAAATATAATCAACAAATGAATTACCAATAAAGATGTCAACATTTGCATTCACAAATATTTTAAACGAACCAAATTATTCACCAGCTATTAAAATGTCATTGCAATCAATGATGAAAAGTTGAGGGTATAAGAAACTTTTTGCAATTATTTCGTAGTGTTGTAGTACACTAATGCAAATATATTTTTCTCAAATTCCGTCTAATCAATCATAACGCAATGCGTAATGTTCGACTTTATATATACTTTATGTTGATAACAATATACTATCTATACCTTGTAGGGAGTTCCTCTTTGTTTATGTCCCCATTTGCAAACTGTGCAGGAGGTGGAAGAACTGATGACAAATCTTCGTGTATAAAACTTTGAAACTTTGTGGCACTTCTGTCAGCAGTTGTTACACTTGTGGCAAGGGATTGGTTTGTTACGTCAACTTGGCAACTTTCTTGAGTTACATCATAACTTGAGAACATTTCATCGCTTTGTTATTCGTACAAAACTGATAGGTTCGCTTTTATTTTATTGGTATTCCCACGACAATAGCAGCGTGGTGATAACTTGAGTGCAGAAACCGCTACTGTTAACTACGCAATATTAATTGAGAGTAATTCTATTCTCACACCTCCAACTGTAATATTGCCAAAATCAATTTTTCTCTAAAAAATCAAAAAGTAATATAGATGACTATAATATAATTATTATTACCATAATTAATATTCTAACATTTTTCTTATTTATTATTAGGAAATACACTATGATAGGTAAAACGAGATGTAATGTTATATAAAATGGGGTATATTCAATCCAGAAGTGCACTTTTATCTGTATCTGGACCAACCAATGCAAGGATAACATATATTAAATGTGGGAAAAAGTCTGTACACTGATTCTTTGGTAGACCAACAGCAATTGAGCTATTGATAATCTAAAAGGCATATAATCAGTCTGAATTCTCCCTACTGCCCACATCTCAAAATTGAACTGTAACTGGTACAAGGAATGCAATACTTGCAAATAGAAAGGAATTGTAAGTACATATTATTTTTATTAGAGAAGATAATTAAAGCCACAAAAAGTAGTCTGGAATTCGTCAAGTGGTTGATTTGGTTGAAAACATGTATACTTACGGTTACGGTAAATGCAGGATTAATACAAGTATCAGTAAAATATATAAACAGTCCTAACATACAAGCAAGTGTTCCCTTAAAGATTGAATGACAAATGCATATAGAGTTTTTTGAGTATTAGGACCTTAAAAATAGGTGAAAGAAGATATGATAAAAAAATGTTGGGAAACATTAATAATAATTATCATTACGTTTATTAGAAAAAAATGTTACAACATAAAAATGAACTACCGGTACATCATTATAATTTCATAAACAAAATTAATCTTGAAATACCATTATCCTATTAATAACCCTACTATACGCACGATGATACTTCGTGGTTTTCACTCAAGAGCAATCAACAAATATAAGAAGATTATTTACAAAACTCGACAGAAATTGGATTGCTAATGATAGTAATATTTACATAATATCATAAGTGCAAATATTGACAAATAGACTTGTGAAAGAGCTACTGAAATATCTCACATTATATGCATATATTCTAATATATTTATATTTCAAAGTTTAGCATATTAAAATATATATCTCCATTTTATTATTTTGATAGGCTCATTTAATTGATACACTTTTCAAACTATAAAACGACCAGTCGTCTGATAAGCAGGATCTACACTTCATTAATTTTATGGTGCTTTCATCCTGGATATTTTATCACTTAGATTGTGTAGAGCAAACATACAAATTAGACCAATTTACATAATTATAACTATTAGTAGAAGTTACGCAAGACAATCCTCCTTCAATGCCTTTGCGCTAGTAGATCGTATGCATATAATGCAAGAATAATCTGAAAAGCAGGAATAAACATACGAATACTATTCAATTCAAGAGTCCTGCTGCACACTAACACAGATGTATTTCTGTCACGTTTCATATAACAAAAATCAGACTCAGACAAGATGTTTACAACAATTATTGAAATGAAATGTTACAAGAATACATTTGTTTTAGTATGCAGCAAGACACTTGAAAATTAGGTATATTCTTGCTTTTCCAAATATTGTCAAAATCCCAAACACGAAGAGTTAGCTAATCTCTACTATAGCCAACATACCTATAAGCCTACCACCTCACTTTACATTAGCACAGCTCAAAATATGCATGAAAGTTTTCTCGCAACAGTAAAACAGTCAGTTTCCCACTAACAAAGTACAAAGTGGGATTAGTTCTTATTTGACTCTAAACAAGGATTCAACAAAAGCCCTCAGGTGGTTTGTGGCTTACATTAATGCAATAAAAATAAAGGTGGCAATTATCTTAAACTGTAATGCATTTGATCTGAACTGTGATTGGTAGTAAAAATATGTTTTCCTTAAGAATATAGCGAGAAACATATGACATACAATTAATGATATGATAAAATATGAAAACTGTAAATTTCGACCATATTGCAGTATAATAATTTATTGTAGATTGAAATATCGACAGATTTTTACAAATGTCAACACGTGTTAAAAAGTATTTATTACTGTATAAAACATTTCCAATTTAAGCACAAACAATTACGGTAGTTAGTACAGAATATCCTTTTGGCAGTTTGGTAGAGTGTAGAAGGAAATTCTACAGATGTTGAAATATTAAAATCGGTAAATACCACCATATCACTCATTCACTTGATCACCTTTAGAAAAGTTACAACTGACTTGAACTGCTTCAAGTCTCATGAAAATTATCACATGCGGCAGCGTAATGCGCTATCAAAAATGGTTTCAGAGGCTCATAGATCTAGACTTATGAGTGAGAAGGTGACCTTTCTTTAAGCAAATTTCCTCGCATAAATAAACCAAATAGTACATACCGGTATATAAAGCATAAAATGCAAAAAAATAATCCATTCTTCATCATTTATTTGAAAAACATCATAGCTTATGTTTACACCAGTAATGTCAGCACAGTATAAAAAAACTAAATATGGCACAGCTCAAATTTAAAGCATTTATGAAGTCCCGTTTCCGTATTATTGATCATGTTGCAAGCATGCTATTCATTTGTTTGAAGCATAAGGCCATAAATTAAAATATAGCAGCCTGTTTCTACTGCATTAGTCTATATCACAGGATGGTGATGAGTTGACGACTGTATTCACATAATAGAATTACGGAAATCATACACATATAATGATTTCCTAGTTGAGCATGCAGCACCATAGACTAGCAATATATACAATCTTAATTAAGATATTGTTTAATGCTGATTTCGCAACAATATATTGAATACGTTAGCCTGTACTACTTCGGCCATGCACTGAATAATTATGTTATAGATTCATGGGAAGATTAAAATGTCCAAATGATGCAATGTAGAACCAAGTTTTATTTACCAAACCCTTTGGTAATAAAAACTAATAAATGAAGTAGGCCTAACAAATTTTTTAAATTAGATTCATTTACAATGTCAGAATGTGATAGCTCATCATGGCAAAACAAAGCATAATACCATGATCTCCAAAGAGAAATCCAAAATCTATTTTTGCTCATTCCCCAATCGCCAACAGATGAGTAGACCAGTAGATTGCTGACTACAGGACTAAACCAGTAGATTGCTGACTACAGGACAAAACCCTTAGATACAGACGTACTGACGTAAGAGAATATGGCGAGGAGAGATAGACGGCAAGACAAGAGACATTCATTTATCTTTCCAAAATCTGAAAATGATGGCCTGAATACGTATCTGGTTATTAATCACCTCTCACAATCTTACTCCTGTACCAGCTCTCTTCCTGTTCTTTATCCCCGGCCCATTTGGCATTTCATAAACTTAAGGATGGCCTGTTTCTGTAATTTGATATGAACATTTTCAGTCGAAAAAACGCCGAAACCAACATTTTTTATTCTTTCATTATTAATTTTAAGTCCAATACCAGTACCGTAAACTGCTAAATGGCAGAATGGAACATTTCATTATCATATCCTGGACTATATTGTGGACGATAACGTACGCCACCCGTACGCAAAAATGCATCACATTAACATCAAAACAAATGAGGTCGCAACAAACGATTAATTTCGACGTTTATGCTTCGTCACAAATAAGAAATACATAATTATGTTTCAGAACACTTTTTATGAAACTATTTTCACAAACATAGTTTTAATACCACAAAATAACATACTTTTATGCGCTGATTTACAGATATATCTTCTAAACATTCTTTGAACATAGGAATAGTACGGCGGTGCTAGGCGATTCCTGACGCTATATTTGCAAAAACATTTTTAGTCAAATGGTGGAACTCAAGTGTCATCTAGCGGAACCTGCGGCTGACATATCAAATCTGGATACCAGATGTGATAGATGTTTCCCCGACCTTTGACTCTAGAGAAATACTCCCAATACTTTATTATAGCAAGGGAGAAGAAAGCCGATGAGACGGCTTAGCCATATGGCAAACCATGCCCTTTTGTCCGGTTACCTGTCCATGTCGGATATGGGATTAGTTAGTTATTTGTTTTCAAAGCATTGACTTGATGAAGCCGTAACCGACCAGCGATTTCGTGAACCACCCACCCTACCGCGGCGAGGAGTCCAGCAATCCTCTCGCACCAATGACATTGAATGTCATTGCTCGCACATAACTATCCCCACATGGGATTCGAACCTGCGAACCCACGCAGTGTAATCAGAGGTGTGATGGCGAGCGTATTCCTAACGCTTAGCACAATGAGCCACACCGCCGAGCCTGAACAAGAAATGGAGGGTCGGTGGAACATCCACTGTGCTATACAATTCGAATTTGCTTACAAGGTTACATTCAAGTTTATAACACTAAATCTTTGATATCTCTATCTATATAAAATGTCTCATCCATTACGTCAGCAATCTTTTCTTAATCAGCACAAACTTAATCAAACTTGGAAGTTGCTTACTCTGATCTGTTTCTATGAGCTCGTTTAGTCAATATTACTGCTATACCTCTTCTTTACACTTAAATCGCTATTAACAATTATCCCCGTGAGTGAGTTCACCACTTCGTAGTGTAATGTACAATATTTTTAAACAAATGCTATTCATAAATATTGTCAAATATCATATGTAAAACGTTGCTCTACATATTCATTATGTCCCCTACTTGAGATTATCTATCAGTTTACTTAAAAAGCCTCGCATTCTTTTATTAAACACGCGCATACTGTGCAAAAAATATATTTATGAAAAAGGACGGAAACGGTAGATATTAACATTCAGTTACAATCAAGTAAAAAGTTGTAAGTAAAGCAATAAGCGCATCGTCTTTGAATTCGCTATAAATCATCGAACTCAACTCGTCTTTATAATGCAACAAACTGTTGTTTGCAATTTCCCGACATGAATATCATATTGGATAGGATTGAAACAGAAGAAATATCGGACGGAAAACATCCACAAATTACTGTACAAAAATTCAGACGATCGGTACTATAGTGAAGATTATTTAAGTTCCTATTCATGGCAAATCTAAGAGTAAAAATATGGGAATACATAGTGACTAAATAAGTCACAATGTTAAACGAAAAGGATACAGAATTGTTCCAGTTGATTCGGAGCCGGACAAAATTGAGAAAAATGTACATGAGTATATTACAAGCAGAATAATATTCACAGTCAAGCATTGATTGTCATGTTCTGCTGCGAGGCCATGCCATCAACACTGCTTGTACTTATCGCCTTTATGGGACAGATAGATTCTTTAGTGTAGTTCAGTGTTGGAACCAGCATAGAATGCTCCACGTCTCCGCCAATATGTGACGCTCCAGTTGATGCTATTGTGCCGTTAGTTTTAACTTTTGCTCTCTCCTCCATTACGTCGATAACGTCCACGGTCTTGGGTTTTGTAGTCGCCTTTTCTAGAAGCATATCTGCTTTAGATAAACGGGATTCTCCGCGCAACGATTTTGCCTTCTTCTTCCCATTTTTTGTTGCACGACGCGAGATTCTTGGTGATGTACCAAACTAGAGCAAAACGAGAAGATGAATGAAGTTGAATAACAGAAAAACGTTTTCGCATACACAATTAAAGGCGCTCCAAAAGTATGTGTACCAATATGGAGGTAACTAATTTTCTTCGCCTACTCTACATCAAGTTGTGTAAAAGGACAAGAAGCCTGGCTAACACAGACAGTCCCCAAACTCGTAATAGAACTAAAATAGGGAAAATCTCTAACCTGGTACACATTCTTTGGGAGTACCCAATTAAAAAATAACAAACAGCTGTAAACAATCACTCACATAGCAATATCACCTAAAAATGACATTTTACCTGTACAGATCCTTTATCCGACCCGTCACCGGCGGATTGAACAGACATGGCGGTAATAACGTCATCGAAATTGTTGATTCGCGTCATTCCCTCTTCTTCCAAATCAAGACCACTGTTTGTTGTTGATACACTTGACATACGTAATGTTCCACGCTTTTTCTTAGTCTTCGTTGTGGAAGTATTGGGTGCAGATAGAGAAGCGGTGGGAGGACATTCTCCCAAAACCTAATAGGGAAAATAAAAAGTACAAATATACTTGGTATGAATAATAGGGGAATGAGGAACGAAACGGCACGAGTACGGCGCTCGGATTACTTTATGCAAAACATAAATGGGAACTGTACTTGTAAAATAAATTCCAGGATTTTAGTAATTATCCCGGATGAAAGGAAGGAGACAAAACGGCATAATCATATATATAGAAAACAACGATTTTTCGTCCGATTTTCCAGTCCAGATTTGTATGGGAATAATTAATTTACCAGTTAAGAGTTTCAGCCTGAGTCACCCTGAAACGACGGGGAGTCAAGCAATATCCTCCCACACAATTATACTCCACGGGAATCAAACTTGCGAACGCAAACGGGGTAATATTTTGAGTATTCAGCGATGATGAAAACCAAAAACACTGCTCAAATACATGAACACGAACGTCTCGCAGCGGTATCGGTACAATAAAATGCTAGAGATGGTTAATCGTGACTGAATAAAACTTGTTCCCATTCAATTGAAATAAAACTGAAATATTTATGGACGAAATATCGGGTCCCATAAACTCAGAAAGAATTAAAAAAAATAAAATTGATAGCTTCTAGTGCGGTGGTTCTAAACCTTTTTTCTTTCGTGGCCCATTTTTATTAGCCAAAAATGCTCGTGGCCCAATAATTTTTTATTGCAAGCGAAAAACTACAAAAAAATTATATTCTTTCTGCGAAGATGAGTTAAATTGAAAATTACCACTCAGTGGCAGAAAACAGCATCAATAACCATTGGTACTACAATCAAAATTAAGGATATTGATACAAAAAAACTAGCATTTTTCGAAAGTTCTCTAGTCCACCTCAAAATCTTTCCGTGGCCCAGCAGTGGGTCATGGCCCACTGGTTGAGAACCAGTGTTCTAAAGTCTTCAACCACCTTCGAACATCACAAATTTCAACACGATTAGTTGCGAGGAAGAAAATTTTCACAACAAAAATACCAAAATCTTAATTAAGAACAACAATTTTACAAAACGGTCCATAATATGTATACTCCATGTCCAACAAACCCACCTTTTCATCATCGCTAGTTTTCTTCTTTCGTTTGACTTTTCCACTGCTCAATACTGAAGCCTTGTCTGCAACATCAGATCTTACAGGAGAATCACCCCTTTCGTTTGTGACGTCACATACCACGGGAACAGGAGTCGGAACGACAGTTTGTGGCATGGGTATGTCGTTCTGTGCCAACACTGATTTTGGAAGTCTAATGACTTTCGTCTAAATATGATCAAGAGTTAAATAAACAGTATAGAGGGCGTGAAACTAATTAACAAATATATATTTGTTAAATTTGATCTTGCTCGCCTTATTTAAGATATTTGCATTTCTTTATTGTTTAGAAATTGATTCCATTGATTCCATTCATGTATTTTCAACGTGTTTTTTTAATGAAATACTTTCGCCGTACTATCTGTTATTTGTAGCTTATTGTTAAGCTAGTAATTTTTAAGGTGGGGCGCGAGACTTGACCAATTATAAAAAGGGGGCGCGGCTTAAAAAGTTTGAGAGTGAAGGACAGATATTTAATAATTGTCCCAATGGCAATGAAGCCAATATTGAGTGAGAGCATGATTCACATTTATGAATTCTCTTACTCGGCAGTACATTTTTATCACGTAAATTTTTATTTTGGTTTATTCGTGTTTCTACATATTTAGATCGTTGAGGCTAACTACGCTGGAGCAACAGAATAACAATCCCCGATTCAATCCCCAATCCTTTAACATGTTACCTTTCCGACATACTGCAATCTTTTTTCAATAGGCAGAGTGCTGATATCGACTTCGACCATTTCTTCTTCCTCTTCCATTGGTTCTCCGGTTTTGGAGTCTCTTCGTACTTTACTCGGTTTGAATTTATCCGGAACTGGCGTGGTGAGAGGATTGTCATCGGCACGGAGTGTAACAAGCTTCTTCATCTTGAAAATAGCGGTCGGGAATTGCATGATATTGTTGCCTATATATATATAAAAAGTAAAAGTGACGTGAATGAGGTGGTAGGCATGGAATTTGAACCCGAGATGCTTAGCACAAGATCACTGTATGGAACACAAAATTGATCGCAGTTGTGAGAGTTCGGTTTTGAGACGAACCGTAAATTACTACAGAATCCAGCGCTCCATGAAATCTAAAAAAAAAATGTGTAAATTGCGTGCATACCTCTGACATCAATGCTTGTCAAGCTTCTGCATTTTGATAATCCAACAGGTACAGATTTAATATAATTGAAAGACAAATCCAACTCTCTCAAAGATCTCAATCTCTCGATTTCTTTTGGTAATTTCTCGACCTGAAATCAATTTAAATAAAACATTAATAGAAGTATAATGACCGAAAAGCAAATGTTCATTTGAAAAAAAAATGGCCTAATTCGCAGATGTCGTTGAAGACCAATGCAAATGTTAACCTCGTTCAGGTAAACGCTAGTCAGTTTTTTCTTCACAAACCGCGTTTACGCATTTCAAATTTGTTGCTTTTCCAATTTAGCCATGCCCCATTTCATAGAGTCAGAACTCTAATATAGGCAACCGAAACAAGTTACGAGTCTGTTTTACTTATCCATTGATATTTTCGAACAATTGAATATATATCGTACAATTAAAAATGCGCAAAATAATTTAAACAAATCCACCTTATTTCCTGAGAATTTCAGAACTTGCATTTTCTTCATTTTATGAATATCTGGTGGCAAAGATTTGATTCGATTTTTAGAGCAATTTAAATGAGAAACCTGGAAATCAACAGAACATATAAATGAAAGTTTTTTTTTGTTTGTGGAATGTGTATGATTTGGCTAATTCGCACGAAAAATTGACAAAAATTATAATAATAGGTCTCTGAACAAAACTCGGCGTTCCAGAAGTGTGTGTACCAATATGGAGGTAACTAATTTTGTTCGCCGACTTTACATCAAGTTGTGTAAAGGGACTGACGCCTATGGGCAGGGGGTATATTCATTTGGCTAACACAGACTGTCCCCGAACTCGTAATAGAACTAAAATGAGAAAAATCGGAATGGCCTACCCTAACCTGGTACACATACTACGGGAACCCAAAACTCAGACAAAGCCAAACAAACATATATTGATTTGAAAGACTATAGCCAAGTGGTAGGCCTCATCCATCACAACTGGAAACAGAAAAATGTTACGTAATAGAAGCTTCGCATAAGTAACTAGGTATGGGGCCTGAAACTTAATCATTAACAGTTAAAAACAGCAATTTATTACTGAAGAGAGAAGTCCAGCATTTCCATCAAACTCTTTCATGATTTCACCCAGATTATTCCCAGAAACATCAAGATCGGTCAAACTACGAGTTGTTTCAGCAGGTTTAGGAATGTCTTCCAATTGATTGTTGTCAAGACGAACAACCTGTTTAGGTGAGATTTGATGTATTCAAGATTAGGTATTCAGATCTTTATTTTCAAACTTTTATTCATGGCATAGCATTTCAAAATCAAGTAAATTCACAAGTTTGAAAAGTCATTACATAAATACCCAATAAATGTAAAACTGTGCGTAAAAATTAGTTCTACACAAAGTGGGTTATTTTACAGTTCTTCCTGAGGGTGGGCAGAGATTTTGGACTAAGGCCCGAAAATTTTGCCCACCTAGACTGGCGGGCCATGTAAGTGTAACGTGAAAAGTTACATTTTATGAACAATATTTACACTGTTACAAAAGAAAAAGTGGAAAAACAATCAGCCTCGTGCCAAAACTAAATTTAATCGTAATCTCAACAAATTCCTTGAGCTAATTTTAGCTAAAACATCAAAATTTGGTTTTAGTTTGGTTGTGGCAGCATCTGGCGGGCCAAATTGAATTACCCATGTCAGATGTATACTGTTGCGAAATAACCAAAAATAAATAGCTTTATTATAATACTATAATGACATACATACCTTTATAGTATGCATCGTGAATAACCTTGGATCAACATTTGTTAAATCGTTAGATGAAACGATGAGTTTTTCTAACCTCGGTACTTCACACATTTTCTCTGGAAGTTCAGTCAATCTGAAATAATAACCAAGAAACTAGTTTGACAATCCAAATAAGGAATTTTGAACAAGAATAGGGCGGTGGCTAAGTGGTCAGAGCCTTATACTTAAAAATGCTGGCACAGCAGGCTACACATCTTGGATTCACATTTAACCCTAACCTGGTACACATACTACGTTCCGGTGTCCGCCATTTTAGTTCACATACTTCGGGAGGACCTTTTTATCGGTGTGCATATGTGAGTATCGGAGGAATGAAAATTTTTTTTAATGTTGCATGTTGCCAACCTTTCCAATAACTTACCTATTTTCCGATACATCGAGCTCTAAAAGATGTCGCCACTTTTCGACATTTTCTGGCAATTTTTCTACTTCGTTATTGGAAAGATCAAGCGTTCTCAACTCATGAAGATGCTCCGAAGTTTCCGGGATGTTTTTCAATTTATTCCTCGACAAATTAAGCTCTTTTAACCATCGCAGTTTACCGACACTGTCAGGCAACTCTACCAAACTGGAGTCCGACAAATCCAGATACGTTAAAACACGAAGCTCGTTGAAAAATTTCGCTGGTATTGAACCTGGCAAATAGTAATGTATTAGACAATTTTTTTCACTGTAAAAATAAAACGAAATGGAAAACAACAATTACAACCAAATCAAGGAAAAATGTTATAAGTGAACGAAGTGGGTAGGCCCGGTATATTCCAGTATAACTTTTGGAAATGGGAACAAGGTATTATTTGTTACTAAATTTCTAAAGAACATTTTAGAATCATTTCTAAGTAGTTTCCTTATGTGCGCTATGAAACTCATTTTCTAGGCGTTTTTCAGGGCCTCGTCTCACGGCCTAATTGTTACATCACAAATTATATAGATAATGCGGTCACGTGTCTGAGTTGGTGATTTCGGCTGCCATGCATTTCGTTTGATTTACGTTGAACATAATTCCCATTGACGCTAAAGCCGTCAGTCAAATTTATAACTTGCGGACACTAGCCTATTAGATTGCATGATGAAATTGCGTACAATATGTGCCTAATATTTAATGTTTATTTGAGCCTTAAATAAACATTTGTATTTGTAAGGTATACAAAGTTCTTGGAAAAATGTAAAAAGTGTACCACGATAAAAAAAAAAGGTTGAAGAACACTGAATTAGACGATTGCCAGTGGTTACAACGTGGGACCTAACTTCGTTTGCGTCACAGATTTTCGGGTTCAAATCCCATGGCCCCATCTCACCTAAGATGTAATAAATAGGATAGGCGCGAGATTACGTTCGTTTCAAAAAGAGTTGAGCTCTTTGCATATGAGGGACTGCTTGTATAGTGCCTCGTACGGAGTTAAGGTGTAAAATTTCCTGGTAAATTGAGAGAAACTTTAAGAGAAATGAAGTGGTATCTTCATTTAAATATACCCTTGTTATGATTTTTGGAAATATCAACATAAAAAAGCCTATAAAGCAGAAAAAAAATCCACATGGTAATTCCATACAAACCTCCGAAATTATTTCCCTTTGCAGTAAATTGTTTCATACCACGAGGCATAGGACCATTTCCAACGATAGAAGTCAACTCGTTTTCAGCAATATCAGTATCTCGCAATCCGTGCATGAATCCAAGAGGTTGTGGAAGAGAACTGAGATGGTTATGTCCGATTTTAAGAGTCTTCAATTTACGAAGCTTCCGGATTTGAGTTGTCAAAGTCTCAAGTTCGTTGTTGCTGACATCCAGTAAGCATATGCACCTGATGAAAAAAATATCACATGGGATATAGCCGTATGGGATGGCCTGGACATTAAACCTGTTGTTTATGCGGCAGACGAATAGCTACGAAGGCAATCCCATGTCGATTAAGATTATATATCCATCATTATCTCAACCGTTTATAATAACATATGTTATTAGATTATTAGGTCGAGTAAGGTGATACCGTGCTCAGTGCGAATATTTTTATTTTCAAAAAAGTTGTAACTGATCGGTCGAGTTGAACATATAGTAGAGTAATATTTTGAAAGAAAAAAAACATTTGGATGTACTTCCAAGCTTTGAGTAAAAACATCAGGTAGAGTTGGGGTCCTTTTTCTGTATCGGATGTTTTGCATCTCATTTTAACAAACGTATTATGCTAGCGGATAAAACTTTCGTCTGATAGTGTTTTCTAATATTTATAGTATAACGCCACTTAAAAATAAACGAAGTACCAGGTGTTAACAACAACAATTTACCTGAGCTGTCCAATCTCTTTCGGGAGTTCCTCTAGCTTATTGTCAGATATTCTGAGATTTTCAAGTCCTTTTAGATTCCCGATCGATCCCGGTAACGTTTTCAATTGGTTATCAGAAAGATTGAGATTTGCCAGCATAGACATTTCCCCAAATTCTGATATTTCTTCGACGTTATTTCGTGAAATATCGACTGTAATCAGTCTAGGCATTTCTCGAAATTCTGGGACGGAACGGATTTGATTTCCTGAGAAGTCGACGCTCTGGAGTAAGAAATACAGAATTATATTCTCCGGGAATGTCGAAAGTGAACCAAATATTCGAATACAATTTTAGAAAAATAATTTAGAATATTTTAGCTTTGAAATTTGCAATTTGAAGCTACTGCTGGCTGCCAAACAAAACCAAAAATACTTTAACAATAGATAGATAACAATAGAAAAAAATAAAAAACAATACATCGATGATTATTTTTACGTCTCTGTACTGTAATATCCTATTCTTATAAATATACTATGATTTCTGTAACTTTTTTTGATCACAATCGATATAATATAAAAAAATGTTTAATATGGCATATTCAGCGATGTTTTTACAGAATATAGGTAAAATTGGTATCATAACTAAGTCGTGTACCAAATGTTCAACACTTCTTCCACTGTTATGTGTTAATTTAAAGTGGATGTAAATTGCGGAGAAAGTCGTTCAAGTAAGCATATAAAGTCTGATTCATGCCTTGCTCTTGGTTAGATAGATATATTACTAAGAGAGAGAGAGGAGTAGGTATATGAAGTCATAAACTTGGGGAAAAGGAGGGACGGAGTGCGACAAGCGGGCGCGTAAGACAAGACATATCTGAGATATCCGTTGAACAACCATTTAAATGCAAAAACCTTATTGTACCTGCTTTAAAATATATGAATATTCAACTTATGTTATGTACATGGAATACATACCTGCAAGGTTTTAATCTCTTTAATTTCGGACGGAATATTTTCAATCTGATTTCCTGCGCAATCAAGTGTGACAAGTTTAGTTAAGCGTGACATCGATTCTGGCAGCCTTGTAATTCGATTGTTGCGCAGGTCCAGAGTACGTAGGTTTTCTAGAGCCCCGATGCTTTCAGGCAAACTTTGAATAAGATTCTCACAAATGTCGAGATTAATGAGATACCGAAGTTGACCGATTCCAGGTGGTATTTCAGCGATTTCATTTGAGCTAAGGTTTATAGACTGCAACCTGAAAGATAATTGTTGAATGATTAACACACGAAATGATTCTTGACTGTGTTTTCACAATAGAAGCGGTCTAGTTATAACATATATACGAAACCATTAGCCAAGTATGACTATTCATAGGTTGGATATGCCAATGTTTCTTAGGAGGAAGTAAATTGACTTTGCAAATTATTTATTATTTAAACATACAAGGATTCAAATCAAAAATCAAGAATACAGGAAAACGTTTTGGGAAACATTTATAACAATGGAAAACCATGGATAAAAATGCCGTTACCAGGGAACGTTTCCAATGTATTCTGGTATATTGTCAATCTTGTTATTTGCCGCTTCCAAACTTCGTAATCTTTGACCGTTGATCTTTGACTTTTTCGTTTCCGGTTCTGGTAAATGTGAAAGATCATTGCAACTGACATTTAAAATCTTTTCAATCTGATACACAGACTTCGGCAAATATCTGCAAATCAAAACGTTGGCTGATTTATAAAATTGAATTCGAACATTTTCTGATCCCTGGAGTTCTATATGCTAAGTTCAAAGTTGAAGTCTGAGGTGCCTATATTGAGTTGATATCCTGTACGGTTAAATATCAATCTCTCATCAAATTGTAGGCACGGCGGCCTAGTGGCAAAGCGTTAGACCTAACAATGATGGCTTACCCAGGGTGTAATAAATTAGGTAGCCAACGGCAAACCGCAAAGACTCAGACTCTCCCAAATATAATAACTCAATACGTATGGTTTGATGTCAGGGCCTTTTCGGAGCTAAAGGCGATCATCCTATAATCGAAGCCCTAGGCTTCACAACCACAGGTTCCACACTAGTCAGCGTATCATAAACGATCTATAATACATAACTCGCTATATATATGACAATGAATATATAAATGTTCTACGCCTCCACGGTAAAGTCCTTGATGCTAGATGAGCGTCATGGTTGAGATACAAAATGATATTCTGTAACCAAATGCCTTTCTGACTCGGAAATTATACCTTCATTTAAAACATCTTACTTGAGATTATTGTTTGAGAGTTGAAGTAACTTCAGCTGTGGAGTTGTCCCAATATTTGTAGGCACACTTTTCAGTCTGTTGTGATCAGCATGTATGATCGTCAACGATCGACAAAGATGAATTGCTTTTGGGAGCCCAGATAATCTATTATCAGATGCTTTCAGATGTTCTAGTAGATTCAATCTCGATAAGCCTGATGGAAGTGACGTTAATCTGAAAAGTTGGAATTCATATCAAATTGTTATAGAATTCGGTTTGAATGTGATTCGAAAAAAATATCCGGGAAAAGATTGTTTAGGATTCTTATAGTCCAAAAAACTTTTTCACGTATAACAAATTTATTACTAACTCGTTCAGTTTTAAATTATATCAATTCGAAGTATAACGCGAAAAACTATTAGTAACTTAAATTTCCTTGTATATTCCATGCACCTGTGTTATTTTATTAAAAACTACAATACTTTTGAACAATGGCGCGAAATTGTGTTACGTCGGAGACTCTGAACGCTAACTGAATTTCGGGGGTCTCGAATACTGTATTTGAAAGAAAATGAATTCCCAGAGCATGAAAACCTATTTTCGTTCAATATAATCAATCTACAACTAGACGCCATACTTAACATACTTGTTCTTGCAACAGTTTATATGAGTCAGGTTCGTAAAATCACATATTTCAGCATCTAATGATGTCAATTCATTCTCAGATACATCGATGGTTGCGAGGTGCTTTTGACATTTTTCATACAAAAATTCATCTTCAAATAGTTCGACTGGAAGTGAAGACAAACCACGATTTGAAAAATCGAGACCAAATAATTTTTCCGCGTCTTCAGTTTCATCCGCTTGTTTCACCTTAAATAAATGTTAATATTTATGTCATTACTACTTGTTCATTACGGATTTGTATTTGCAAACAGTAAGCTTTCAAATCCGTCAATTTGTCGGGACACTCAAAATTTTGTAAACCTGTTATTATAACCGACCAGCACAAATTGTAAAAGTCAATCTGAATTTATTCCAAAATAAATTGCTTCAGCCCCGAAAAGATTCTTGAGTTTAAAACTGAAAAAATATATAGTAGTGTAGTACTGAAGATAATATTTTCACAGCGATTCTATCAGAAGCTACGAAATATGAAAGCCATTTGTATTTTGGTTTCTTCTATTTGGGAGAATTTTGGGCTCCATGGCCTTATGGTTAAGAATTACTATACTTGACTTGTAGGCATTGTAGGTTGCGTTTGAATCTCATGCCCACCACCTCACCAACGCTTTAATAAATGAACGTTTCGGCCCCATCTCGTTTCGGACCGTGCGTCGTCTGTATACCTAACATATTTCGAAATAAAGTAGCTTACGTGCCAGTAACAGTGAATGCTTGAGAGACTAATTCCTGTTCGGAGAGCAAGCCGTATATAAAGTGTCGTATAAAAAAAAAATATATGAAATAATTAACCACAAATTATGGCACCTCTGTGATACAGCCTCCTGTTCGTGCCAAAACTTTCTTCAGAACTCTGCATGCTTCCTTATCCCGTGATTTCGGGGATGTAAGTTTTCTTCTACGTTGTACAGTCGCAAAGTCAAAATTTTGCTTTACAGTAGGTGCACGGAGTGGCATGGTGGCTTTTTTTAACTACAGTATAATTATTCGCATTTGACTGAGTGATGTTCTTTAAACATGCTTTTCAACCAAGTACCGGTAGGCAAGAGACATTCAAATAAAGCAGAATACGATAAGAAGTCTCTGTTGAAATACAGACAATGTATAATTCTTTTTTATTAATATCAGAAACTTTAAATGAACTAAGATCGAATGAAAATGAATGATTTTAAATTCCCAATTGATGTGAATTACACATATATTCAGACCTATTCTACAAATGTGTTTCTTTGAACCGTTGGGGGAAAACTTGGTGGCTATGAAGTACCGCTTACGTACATTGTTAGCATTTCATACAATACTTCTAAGCACACTTTCAAAACCAGTTTGCCGCGTTAAGAAGATCCAAAGTTACGTACAAACAATTGGGCACGCGTTAAGTCAATATTGTTAGAGAGGAAAATGGACATGATGTAATTTCACAATTGTTATTCACTTATTAATACAAATAAATAACTAAAGAGTACGCTAGTCATTAGAATATCTACCACTATTAGCATATGAATATTTGAGTATGAAAAGTTCAACAATAATCGAAATTAGCTTGCTTGAATCTACCGAAATACTCAATGGATTCCATATTATAAGTTAATGTGATACTACACCGGTCGTTTCAGGTTGAACCTAAGTTACAGCCTTCTGTACTGCTTACAAACAAATTTACCACCGCACCTGCATCCCTATTACATTATCATACACTCATTTATCTGAATTGATCTTTTGGTTATTAGTAAGATAGTCTATCCAAATAAAAAGTTTTTAATTGCACAAAAAACCAAAGATAACACTATTCAGCAAGTTAATAATACCACACACGCCGCCTCCCATAGCAACAAGACTGTGATTATGACGTCATAATACCATTTGAACCATTTCAGCAGACTCAGCTATCGTGTTCTGTTTTCGGGCTCAAAGATGAGAAAAATAATTTATCAAATAATTATTCGATCGCTAACAGTTCTCGATCAAGTTAAGGTTCAATAATACAAGTGATCAAAACTTTTAAGAACATGGGTCATCAAGTGTCTTATCAATCAACACTTCAAATCCGCAAAGTAGGGTTCACAGCCCATTATATACTGGTTGAAGTCGAATACCGCAACGGCCATTTTTGCGTCATCGAATTCAGTATATGATAACTACCTCCTTGACTATTACATCCCTTACATAATTTCTGCGTGGATTAAAAAAATTCTACTATAAGAAGAGGAAGTAAACCCTAGGAAGAGGATAAATTCTTGCTTCTAACTGAGAAAATTTTTCGCAACAACTTCAAACTTGATATAGATATGAATAATATAGTGATCATTTAATGTATATATTGAGCGAACACATACAATGAGACAACTAGAATTAAGTCAATCAAAATCCACATCAAACAAACAAAAATAACATCAAAAATGTTGGCGATCAATTCGTGCACAGTGCAAGAAAGTAAAAAAATTGTATGGAGCACCGAACAAAATGTCATAACGGCACTACCTTCTTTCAGCATATTTCCCAGACCATCACTTCATCAAATTAAAACCTTCTATAATATTCCCCGTGTTCAGTGTATAAAGTATTCCATCTATTTAATACTAACAACATAAACTTTTCACTCGAACTTTCATCCAAAGCATAGTTGCCCTCATCTGGTCTTATGCTAATTTTTCTAGATCTATCTGAACTTTTCATGACGCAAATAATTCCATTCAAAACATCGTACGTAAACCGAATCGATGCGAGTCAAAACAATCTGTAACGCCCGCTCGGACATTGTTGACAGGAAGCAAACTTGTTCAAAACAAAGGACATAAGACAATAACTCGCGTGTGCGGGATGGAGTTTAGGTAATATAATATCTGAGTAATCACCTGGTAATGTATTGTAACACATATCAACTGAAAAACAGTAAAATAACAGGACACTCTTTTCCGAGCATCTTCACTCTGAAACTTTGAGACGCGTAAGATTTTAACACTGTCACAACGGTGCACCAGCTAGCTATAAGAAATCTGTACTCGGTAAAACAGATCAACCTTAAAGTTAATTATTGGAAACTCGTAAAGATTCCAACTAATGTATTTAACACGTTTTGTAACAAACCTGTAACTGATACAATGTTGTCGTGAGCGCGAATGAATCAGTCTCATATTTAGAATATTTCAGCATAGCAAAAGATGAGGCAAAGCTCGAAAATGACTGTGACGCAATCACCAATATTGCCATTCGTCCATGGAAAAGTATGCGGTAAGTCGCGCAAACTGGCAGTGGAGAATATTAAAAAATTGTTAATTTTTCTGTGTTGTTTCCGTATTGCTACTGCGACAAATATCGACTAAAAAAATTCTTCTGCGTGGTATTTGACAAACGAGCAACATACCTCGTACCAAATCTCACCTCAACGCCAACAGATTTTTCCGTTTTCAGAGAGTTTCCCCTCATAACTAAACTATGTTTAAAATATTTGTCATTGTGTTGGCCGATTGAAAGACATACAAATTATCCTAATGCTTCCGAACAATATCCATCATTCCACTAAACTGCCGATAAACGTTCGTTAGTTCAACTGTCTCCATGGAACCCAGACATCGTCTATTTATGAGGCTTTAAAAGCGCGTACACAAAAAGCAAACACGTACTTTATGACCTACGCTAAACAATGGCCCTTCCATACGTATACTAAATATGTTCAGCTGGAAAATCATTTCTAATTTTGTGAATATTAAATTTGCTCAGCCAGCTAATTGACACGTTTGAAGGCTTAATTTACTAGGGAGACCAGTACTATATTCACAATTTTTTTCACATATATATGAGTTCTGATAATCAAAGTCGAGTGCTATATGTGCGGTTAAATTGCAATACCGTTCTTTCAGAAATTTTATGTGCGTATTTATACAGTATATATGATATGAAAGATTGAACAATGAAGTCTTTTTGCGTCAGCCGACATATAATTCGGCTTCTAAGAAAAATATTATTTTTATTTGCACTATAAATCCCATATCAAATATTAGCGCCCACAACTTATCTTTCATTCTCCATTTTTGAATTAATCATAGTTGTTACTGAATTTTCTTTATTAGCTCTGGAGAAACTTTGCAACTCGTTATATCTGACCATGCTTAGGAAGGGGTATAGATAAATTTCTTGAGATGACATGAATTTTAAAAGCATTGTTATAGATATATTCTAATTTTTTGGGGCTTTTTAATAATCTTCGGGGTATTATCTTTGATCAATTTTATAGAGCTGAAGCTTGAATGAGTAAGTATCAAAGCCAAATATAAATATATTTGAAATATATATAAAAAAAATTCAAATATAAACGCTAGAAAAGAATAATGATGAATGAACTTATCTTATTTTATAATTATATTCATATTCGAATGAACCAGAAAGTTAAGAAGTCAAATAACTGATCTGTAATTTTATCTATATTAACATGAACATCTAAAACGATTTAAGTAAATGCATACATCTTTTCTACATTTTACGAGGCCGAAAAAAAAATTGACGCTACTTAAACTTTATAGCTGAACTACCATTGTTAAGAAGTTTCTAGCCTTAATATTTATTTAGTGACTATAAAAGGGAGACCGCAAACGGAACAATGAATCACACCCGTATTGGTTCATCATACTGTATATCTACGTCCTGAAAAAATGTTCAATTTACCTCAATTTTGCAATATCAGCCGATACGAAGTTTTTGCAGAAAGGGAAAATAATCATGGCCGATGTTGAGTGGACTACATTGAGAAGAAAACGAGCCGTAGTTCTTCTAGGTATATCAACACAACCCTTTCCAAATATATCCTTTCTGTAAGAGCGTCAAGTTCGTTATTACTAACCTTCATTGTTTAGTTTAGTTGATTTAGTAATTCATCCTTAATTGTATGAAGTGCATATTAAGTACTATCTGTCGCCTATCTGTCTATTCGGTGAATTGAAATTTCGATTGTCTATAAGAGGAAGAGGTGGCAAAATAACAATGCGAAATACTTCATCGCTTTGCTTTATGGCCATAATTATGAACAGCCCAGACAACATGATTGGGTTGAAACCGCGAGAACATCGACATCGCGCATAATTAAACAAAATGTTTAGCAAGATAAAACTCGAAGTCACGAAGTAAATCCAATTCAAGGACGAGATTACGCTATTGTATAAAATTTAAAACTGACGATATTCATTGTTTAATTAATAAACACGAAGTACATAGAGTTCATGTAACCGCGTTGAGACATATATAAGCCTATTGTCAAGAAAAATGCTGTAAATGGCTAACAAAAGACAAAAACAACGTTTTATTTGTAGATACTTATGCTGACAAATTCTATTGTGGTGTCACATCATACAATCACATTGTTATTGGAGTCTATATGTTAGGATATATTTTTATTTTTCATTAGTGTGAGTAATACGAATCATGTGTCACGGTTATTAAAATAACGCTGGGTAGAGTGTTAAATGGCCTTCGACTTCGGGCGGTTTTATGCGTACACAATATTGATTATTTTAAATTTCGTATATTTTCTTGAAGAGTTACTCTATTATTTGTTGCAGAATCCATGTCCACAGGAGAATAGAGGCAAGCATTCCAACCAAATCGATTACGTAATGACCCCGTAATTGCGATATTTTTTCCCACATTTAAACCTATCATAACAACCAATTTAATCCACTTCTATTCCGAATGGGACATCGAAGTTTGGTTTTCATATTCCCGGCAGTACTACACGCCGGGGACAGGTGTTAAAGACAAATACCAAGTAGTGAATTCAAAATAATTTTATTCTGATTTTTATCTTTTGTATTAGCTTATCTATATTTTATCATTACCAACACTGGTAATATATTTAGGAAACGATAGTTCACTTTTTTAAAATCGTATTAACGTATTAATACGACTTTCGTATTAAATAAAAATTCCGGGTTGCTAATTTATTAATCAACTACAAGCGTATTCTCTCGTTTGATTATACTTTCGCTTGCCTCGCGACGAAGACTTGTTATTTCACCGTTTTTACAATATCCGACTTTACTACTTAGTTAGCATTTTATAATAATTATTGATGCCGACTCATTGACGATATT